GAGTAGAAATACTCCTAGTCGCTTCATGCTACAGAAACCGGGATAAGCTCCGGCCTGATGGGCCACTTGGCTCGCATGCAGACTTTACCTTTTTACCTACCTCATAACCTTTGAGTGCATTTGTTGTGTAGTGCAGACAGAATACATGCACATAATATAACTTATTCATAGCTTACTTATAATTCTTGGTATAATTTAACATGATAGCAGAATTAATTAATGGAACCCAATAACAGCTCCTGCAGTCCACAATCTCAGTCGAGAAAAAGAACAAATCACATTGGAATTGAATAATAAAATTATATCAGAAGCCTATGCAAGTATTCATGATCAGCAACAAAATATCATATTGAGTTTGCTTATATTTATACTTTGAGAGATGGTGCAAACCCTTCCAGCAGGAGGAGACTCCATACAAAAATGAAGATTGCTAACTGTATCTTTGGGGCTCAAGTTAGAAAACAAAACTTTTTTAACTTTTCACATGTGTATACTATTTTGGTATTTTTGTGAGATTTCATTTGGTAGAGATTTGGGGACTGAGTATATTGTAACCACTGCATTTCAATCATGCCCCACAACGAAAAAATGTATTAACTTCTTGTTGTGTGGGAGTTCCCATGTTAAATAAGAAAGAATATAGTGATTAATAACAATGTCTTGTCTTTCTCAATAAGAATGAACAAGAAATGCCACTAAAAAGCACAGAAGACAGTTATGTTATGTGATCAACATTTTTGGTGGCTCCACTGAAATCTTTGAAATCATGGCTCTATTTTTATCATCACACCATCTTGCACCTCGATCTGCTGATGTAATCCTAGTTTAGGCTGAAACTATAAAATCGTTTGCAATTTACCTCACATACATGTACATGTTGGCTTATTTTCATCAGTAACAACATTCCAAAAACTAACTTTAGGCTTGGCTAAATCTATATATTAAACTTGTAGTCATGTCAATCCACGTCAGCCCTCTGTTTTAACTCCTATTCCCTGTGCCACCCCGACAAAAGCACCTTCTGGCCCACAATTCCCTATCTCACCCGAGACCCATATCTCCTGATCTGTACCCACTACCCTATACATGTAGCTAATCTTCCATGACCCCACACCTTGGCTCGGTTCTCCCTGTTCTGTTCTAGCTTTAACCCAATACTACGATCACAAAGCAGTTAACACCAGCTATGCAGGCTACTACTACAGCTATCCCAAACCTAAACCCCCACTACATGATAACTATTAGCCATCTGCTTACTGATCCCTTTCCTCCTACGTGACACCCTCTGCTACCCAACCCCATTATCCCATCCCCCTGAGTCCAGTTTTATCCCAAAGCTGCTACTTGGCAGCATTCCCTATCTTTAAGCCCCTATTCCCCAAGCCTTTATTTATCACTATCCCCTTAGAGTCATATCCCAGGGCCTTTTGACTTCATAACTCCTATCCCTTGCCCATAGTAATCCAGTTTTGCAGGCCAATTCTCTTGGGAAAGATGGTCACTCACTCCCTAGTGTTGCATGACAAACTCATGAGAAAGCCAGAACTGCACAGGGGAGGATTGAGGATTTTTCTTAGGGGGGGGGGGGATGCAGCAGTAAGGAATGTCGTAACTGACTGATGAGGTATACAAATTTTAAAAGCGAATGCGAAGAAGAAGGATTCATCTCATGGGGGGCACACCCCCTGCACCTTCCCCCTAGTTCCACCCCTGCTGGAATACTCCACCCATACCCTCTCCTTCCTGATTCAATTCCCTATTAATGAAACCTGCAACAACAAGTAACTTACCTCCTTCACAACCTTGAGAATATTCAGAACAGCTCACAATGTCTTGAGTAGAGAACACTGGGGTTTCAGTGACATTCGACAAAACACGAACACGAGCCTCAAACATTGCAAGGGTGCCAAAAGCATAACAACTACCGCAAGTGGCTTGATTTCTTACTGGACTGACATAGTTTTTCCCATCAACATCCCTCCAGTCAAACTCATCTGGAAGTGACTTTGCTTTTAAAAGATCTTCCTCTGTCACTTGGCTGAAAGATAAGATAATATAACCTTATTTAATTGCCTGATTTAATAAATTAGAATCTTATGTAACTGGTTTATATGCCTGTATTGTATTTCATAAGTTTAAAAATACATGGCATCAAAATTAGATATCATAGTTTAAATAAACATTTTTTTTTCAAGGT